GCTTCTGCTGGGGTTTCGGGGACATCTGCATACGGATTATCACTAGGGGCTACGCCAATGGGAACATCTGGAGTTTCTTGGTACTGACGATTCATATGGCTATATAACCCATAGACTGTTGGGGGTAAACCTCCACCTCTCCTGGGAATGCTCTGGAATGCGTCGGTCCTAAACACAAGATGTCCGCTGGGAGCCCTCTCTAGTGGAATATGTATCGCGTCCGCACCCCAGCTAATGGTATAGCTACCCGTGGCTGTGAGGGTGAGCATTTCCCTGCCAGGTGCCATTTCCAGCACGGCGTTGTGATTGCTCATGCTCCTCAAGCCAAGTAGTGCCGGGAGGTCACGGCCCTCCCCTTCTACCATGGGGGTTTCGAAGTTGAATGATACAGATTCGCCCCTAACCAAATGACCTTCACCTTCTTCCGGTTGAGAGCGGGGGTGGATGATGTTGGGTATTGCTATCGGCAATGTGGCAACATGCGTACAGCTTTGGGTACCCTGTCCTACTCCCCTGACGGCCATTGGGTTGGTCATGGACTTACGCGTCGACCTCAAGCCCGCATTCCGCGCGGCTGTGGCTTGGCGTTCAGCCCATTGCTGACCTGCTAGATTGGTCCATGCCCCTGGATCAACTACAATTGATTGATGACCAGGCACTTGGGTGGATGAATGGTATGTGGATGCGGCTCCAGTTGCCTCTGCTGTCTCAGGCCACCATGGAAAAGTGGGTGTCCCGTGTGGTGTCCTAAACTCATCGTGTTGATCTGCTCTTGGAGATGTGGGTGCAACGTAGCGATAATGTGCAACTACCTGTCCCCCACCGCGGCAGCATGGGCATGTTGGATTTTCTTCCCTCAAAAGAACTTCAGTCCAACAATTTTCATGGAAGGTATGCCTGCAGGTCAATCGCACCAGTTGTTCTCCTGCACTATATTCTTCCAAACAAATGCTGCAGCGGTGTTCATCCCCTAAGTATTCAACATTGGGTTGTCCGACATTTGGAGTTACCATGGGTTCTGTGGGATTATTCGAGGGTGTTACTGTGGGGGCCGGATTCACCTCACTCCTCGAACCTTCCGATTCACGAGTCCTCATCTCCTGCAGTGTCATCATCGTCCGGTGCTGATGATGAAGAGCACGTACCTGCGGATGATTGAATGCTGGCTCACTGACCCTTTCTGATACTCTAGAAGCTATTGGGATCTCACGCAACTGGTTTGCTTGATGAAATTCCCCCACAACTTGACTACGGATCGTGTCAAGTGTGCTGATAGCATTCTCTGAGACAATCGGATGATAGGTCGGTGCACGCACTTCCGAGGCCGTCCCCTGCAAGAAATTAAACTCGGGCATCAATGCCCATTCTGGCAACTCCGGGGTCGGATGTTGTAGGATCACTGTTGGGATCTCCCCTGGTCCCACGATCAGTGGGTGTTGTGGCACTTCGTGCCGATGGACCGGTGGTGGTTGCATTGGTGGTGGTTGCGTGGCTTGGGCAACATATGGTTCTTGGATAGTAGTCGATTCTGCAACAGGTTGCTGTAAAAATGGTTCGCTGGTTACATTTCTGCCCTGTGGATTAGTGGGGTTATTCTGGGGAAGATTATTCATTGGATTAGTGGCTAGTGGGGTGTTATGGGTAAATTGGTTCATCATTGGCGGTCCAAAAGATCGTGGTTCTGTGGTCGGATGCATCAGGCCATTCAGGCCATTGAAGACACTCTGCATGTACAAGGATTGATCGGCCATATCCACTGCCCGGGTCGTGCGCGGCAGTGGTGGCATTGGATTCACAATCCCCCCAATGACCTGTCTCCCAGTCCTGCTCTCGGTGTACCGCCTCCAAGGATCACTATTGGTCCACGGGTCCTGAGGTGCTGCTGGTAATGTGGATGCATTGGATGGGGGTCCACCAGAAACTGTCGACCAATGATCAGTTCCGGATTCTTGTCCAACATTAGCATCTACTTCATTGACCATGAGGACCGTGGTTGATGTGATTACACCTGGGGGAATCTGGTCGGCGGTGTCCAAGTCTACGAACAAGTTCTGAGACGAGTCATTGGCTGCAGCCCGTCTTGGGCACTTGGCAACCAGATGATCTTCCGAACCACATTCGTGGCATCTCATCTTACGTCCATCCGGGCCTCTTGGATTGCCCTTTCTGCCCTTACCCTTGCCACTCCCTGCCCCTTTCTTTCCACCTTTTGCCCTAAAGGCAGGGAAAATTTCCATGAGCTGGGATTCATTGAGTTCGGACAAATAAGATGAAGTATTGATGATCTTGCCTTTGGGTTTTCCATGTTTTGATTTACCACCCTTTCCACCTTTGTAGATGGCTCTGCGGGCAAACCTCCGAGCTTTTTGGGTCGGCTTGCCCATGAATGACCTCCAGCGTGTCTTAGCACGAGAATAGGCCCAGTAGAGCTCGGCAGCCTGCTCATTGGCCGTGGCACCCTCAGCAGCTGGCCAGGCTTCTTCGCCATAGTCGCTGCTGGTGTCAGTGTCTGTGCCACTGTCACCCTGACCCTCTGACAAATACACGTATGGATCTTGCGGCTGTGTATAAGTGGGGTATGCTTCGGATGAATGCCATTGGGATTGCCAAGAACTCTGGTCATGCCATGAACTACTGGGTTGGTCATTCTGAGATGTGAACACATTTTCATTCCATGAGTGCTCGTCCTGAATATGGTAACTGTGTGTTGGATGTTGTCTACCCCGCAACATGTTGGACATATTTCCTGGTGCATTTTCAATGATCCTACCCATGCGTCTGATGGAGTCTTTCAACCCTGTGAATTGCTGCTCATCAGCAGGGAGAGCACCACCGAGTGGCTGTAGAAGTTGGATCAATTGAGAATCCGAGACACCTACGGCACGGATCAGCAACCAAGAAAGACCAGCATAGCTCAGGGCGAGCCCACCTGTCTCTGCCGCACGCATGCGGGTAGTATCAAACCTAGTCAGCAGCATGTCGATCCTTTCATTAGATTCCCTTCCAAATGACAACAGATCTCCTACTGCCCCTAGCCGGACTTCCTCACCTAGCCTGGCAAATCGGGTGCTAAGTTGATACATCAAAAACGTTAGTGGGTCGGTTTGGGTACCATTTACGGTCCCCCCTGTCAGAATGGTCTGCGGCGGAAGTGTTCTGCTGAATTCCCTGGCTGATCCCTGCAGTTGAGAAATCACACTAGCCGCCTTTCGAGATGCATCCCCATCGGTAGCAATGCTCCAAATCAAGATGTCCCTAGACCAAGTACTGAAGCTATACTGATGCTCCATTTCTGGGCTCCATGCGGGGGGCAATCTTGGATGGTTACTCCTTCCTGGCACCATGCAAGCCACTAATGCACATGTGCTAAGGCCGCCTCCAGCGGCTAGCAATAGTGTCGAATCCGAGAGCGATCTACCATCACGGTGACCAGCGGTCATCGAACCCGAATTGACATGGGCTTCAGGAGACTTCACCTTCCGATTGCCTGCTTTGGATCCGGTCATGCATTGGTTCCTGGATCTAATGGCTGCATCTTTCCCATAGACCAGCTCACAGAGTTCCTTGTGACGAGACTTCAGATGTTTCAGCTTAGAGTCGTACATGTTTAGCATTCTTTCAAACACTAATCTCTGCTGCCGTCTGAGTCGCCTACGCAAAAGCTCTGCCCTACGCTGATCCCGAGGGTACGTTTTGAACTTCCTCCTTGAGTGGTGCAGCCGCACCAGGGTCGAATTCAGCTCCTGCCTCCACTGATCCCCATTCACCAGACTGGGCTTGTACTCGCCTTCGGGCCTGGCCTGTACTGGGGCTTTGCGACCATTGCTCGCTGCATACCAGTGTGTAGTGACACTGATCGAGCCTGCCCCAACCGTACTGGACTGGATCACAAGAGCGCTGGTATTGCGACTCTTGATCACCAGCCCAGTACTGGCTGAGACAGACCCCACCAGTGCCACTACTAACACGGCACACAACTTCAGCACGGCGGTGAACATGATGACAATCAATGGAGTAAGGATGAAAAGAAAATGAAAACAGTCGAGTCGACCCTTAGGGTATAGCAGATACCTTAAATGGGGGTTACTGCCGGGGTTCCCGGCTCCGCTACCAACTCGAAAAATAGAGGAACTAAAGTGACAAAGAAGTACTGTTTCCGCAAATGTCTGTTTTCCTCTGTCCGCTTGTGACGAAGTCTTGTGTTTACCTAGGTCGAGCTCTAGAGCCAGAACAGTTACATGGACAACAATGTGCCTGAGGTATGATAGATCATGTACCTTTCAAGTTGGTTTACCTATTAAAAATGGTGATTTTCCATGGCCATGTTACAGTAAATAACCAGATGGTAACAGTAGCTAACAGTTGGGGATATAAGTGATATAAGCAACAATTTCGTAGGAATACATGGCGATATAGCCAACACTATATAGTGAATATACTGGGAGAAAAAAAAACTGACATATGTTGGTTAAATCTCCGTTTTAACGAGCCGTTTGAGAAGCCATATATTATAATAGGCCAGGATAGATACATATATATATACATATATATATATAGCTGATATAACTACAGTAATGGGCGAAAAATTGGAGATATCGTTCAGCAACAAGAATCAGCTAAAATTTGGTTATTATCCAGGATATTTTAGGGTGATATTGCGGATAGTATTGAAAGCCACAAACTGCAAACATGTATCAACTGTATCCCAACAAAGCCAGGGAGCCGATGATTTTTTCAGGTTATAACCAGCAAAGATAAGACCAGCGATGGCCGACCAAGGCCTACCCCACATCATCCCAAGAGGGACTCAGTTTCGACCTAAAATGATGGATTTTCCATACCCTCTGGTAAACGTTTACAGTTTGCTATTGAAGCCATGGCCCAGTCGAAATAGTGGATTTACCATGATTTTCCATGATTTTCCCAATAAAAATGATGGATTTTCCCGGATTTTCCACTTCGCAAAGTGCGCGAGGACGCTGCGTTGCTGTTGCGTGCGCCTCAGCTGAGCCTCTGCAAGCCGCAATTTCTCCCATCCGATCTCTCGTAGCTCCGGCCATAGTGACCCAGACTGGGGCAAGACGGCAAGCCAAGGCAGCCGTTGGATCCCTTGGGAAATCTTGGGAAAAACGGGGAATAGCAATGGGTACCCTGGGTACCCTCCAGTAAATTAACATAGACCCTGGTAGTCATCGGGGTTGGAAGATGAGTTTCCTCCAAAAATTGGTGATTCTCAGGGTCGAATTGTTAATTTACCAGAGGGTAATAGCCTTGTTAAGACTGCCAAATGCTTAAATAATTCCTGTTCCTGGAAGAGACCTTGCAATTCTTCGAGGTCTAAAACCCTCGCAACATGGTGTTCATTGATTTCAAATATCAATGAATGCTCGCATGCCATTCATCTTCATGAAAGGACAAATGACATGTTTTCAACATGTTTCAACTAGGCCAAAGTTATATAGCACACAGATTCTTAGCATGCTGAAAATTTACTCCCAGAGGCGCCCGCAAATCCGATCGCCTCAAGGACAGAAAGCACTTCTGCAACCTGTGACACGGGCACGTGGATCAAACTTGCTAAGCTTGGGGCACGTGGTATTTCAATGAGATAGGTTTGTTTGAAAATATGCTGCAATGCTACACCCCCGGAAAAAATCAATGATGCCTCAAAGCCTCATTTTACCAATTAAAATTCCCATACATTGCAGGTAAAATCCCCTATTTTGACCATCTGGTCGCCGCCTGCTTGGCATCTCCACAGCCCTTGGCGCATGCGGAAACCACAGCCAAGAAGGCATCTGCTGTCATAGCAGGGCCATGTTGAAATGTCGAGCTCAGTCAATGGATTTGAACGGTGTTCAAGTTTGGGGTATGGCATGGCTTCTCTTTGTAAAAAAATGTGAAGTTCAAAACTGAAAATGACCAAAAGCTTAAAGACTTGGCTGTTGTTTGTCAAACATGTAACAGGTCTTGAGCAAAGCCTGACACTTTTGAAAAAGTTCGGGCACCAGGTGTCTAGCAGCTAAGACAATCCAGGTGGTAAACACATGTAAACACCATCATTGACCAGCAACGACCAGTTGCAATCAGCATAATCTACAATTTTCTACCATTTACCCATTGCTTGTCCTCTGGAGATTCGACCGATTTTCTATGTTCTCCCTTCCAGTTCTGTCAGCTGAGCACAGCTGTGCGCACACGTGGATGGAGGCCAAACGCACCGCACTTGGAACACTTTTCAGCACATCTCTTTTCGATGGGGAAGCGTAGCCGCCGTAGAGGCCAAGAACGTAGAGGATGATGAGGATGCACTAAAGCTTCCCAAATTCTGGACAGATTTCGACCTTGAGACCTGCAGAAACGGCGACAAGAGTTTCACCCAGCAGATCGAAAGTGTGAAGGAAATTCAGCAGCAATGAAGTAGATCTCTTACTGAGGATCCAAAAATGACATGTAGATTCAGCCTGAAAACCAGATGGAAGCTAACGCAGTTTAACGCAATACTCAAGAATGAGACACGAGGTTTGGCACTGTTGAAGAATTAGCATACACCATATTGGATGTCATTTGAAAATCTGGATCCATGCGGCAGTGGAGAGCGTATGTCTCAAATCGCATCATGTAGCGTTGGAGTGACGATATACGTCGCACGAGTAGAAGATGATTTATAAGTTGAAATTCAGTGCCATATATAAATAAACGTGTATATATAGAGAGAGAGATAGATATATATATATTCCAAATTCAGAAGTACATTGTATAATATTATATATAATATATATGAGTATATATAAAATTAAGCTGACACCTGCACTAAATCGTGGTGCTCGTTGTCTTGCGGAGACTTCCAGCATGTCTCACCCATCGCCAGGGGACCATCAGCAAGGATGGACAACGGCAAAGGCACGCCCTCCGCATCGCCAGTGTTCGGTGTATCGTCACCTGAAGACTCACAATCCAACAGAATAATGATAAAGATAACATGTGTAATGTGGTTTCAATAACAAACCATCCATTTGGGAATTGTTTATACCACCCATTTATGGTGATTTGGGGGATTGTTTATTATTGTTTTGACCACATTAATTATGTTTTATGAATATGTATGATTACAGATGATCAGTGACATTCGTCAGTGACCCTCATGTTTGATGATTGGTCGATGTCTACAATGCAAATTAGGGCTGAATCCCAGGCATCATAAGTGAGTTGCCTAAGATCTACAAATCATAAGCGAGGAATTGGAAGTGGCGAGGAATCTCCACACAAAAAAAAAATGGAGTATCAATATTCACTGTCTCCACCAGCAAGGTGCTAGCCTCCAGTGAACTAACAGTTCACTCTGGAAAATGACCATTTAGTTCGAGGTTTTTTTAACCATGATTGACCTATTGAAACATATTGAAACATATTGAAACTGATGATGTTCCATAGATTCCATAGCCCACTGTTTTTGTTTAACCAGAGGCCATTCCGACATCAAAACCCCACCGGGCACCGGGCACCGGGCACCACACCTGGCCAGTGCCACTGCAAGGAGAGCTTCTCGGCTGAGAGGAAGATGCGATGCAACTTGAGCCCATCCTACGCACGGCGGTGGTGGTCTGTCATCCACCGATGAATACACCACCGGTGTAAATCATCAGCTATAGATTTAGATGTATTTAGATGTATTTAGATGTATTTAGATGTATTTAGATGTATTTAGATGTATTTAGATGTATTTAGCTAAGGGAATTGACTACAATAACTCTCAGTGCTTTTTTCGGAATTATTGGGAAGGAACACCCAGCTAATAGTAGTTTAAATCACCATTAGTGGTGTAACTCTACGGTTGACGTGGATGGCTCCAAACATAGCTGCGAGTCGTCATTCGCCCCGACAGCTGGAAGCTGATAGGTCATCACCGTAGGTTCCCCTCTATAGGTCTCGGTATTGAACCACCGTATGTAAGTTGATTTCAGCAAAGATTCCAACAATATCCAACAACTCCCAAAAAAATTATCTGTCTGAAAATGGGCTACCCACAATTTCCAAATATAGATTGTAAAGTCAATTTCGTATCAAAATAGCTAGAAATTGCCGTATCCCCATTATTGAACAAACCCAGAGGTCCAAAATGATTGCCCACCTCGCTTTTTCCAAGTCTCAGAGGAAGCCACAGTGACTGGCAGCAGTTGAAACGTGCGAAAGATGATATGGGATTTGTACGGATTTGCCATGAGATAATACGGGAAACCATGGGAAACCCTGGGAAACCATGGTTAACCACATTGTATGAAACAATAATATGGTAAACCCAGCATATCTCATAATATTCCATCATAGTCCTGTATTTCATATGTTGTGTTATACTATTAGGAAAACCCAGCAAAAGCACAATCTTCGCGAAGCAGGTCAGCCTTGATGGTGGGTGTCCACCAAATGGGAAGTCGACCTGGAATGCTGACCGTAAGTCCCGACCTGCGGTGGCCAGACTTCCGATTCGGAGATCTTGCGACTTCTCCCAGCACACCAAGGTCAGGGCGCATCCTCAAGGTGTAGAGCCTGGCGCAAGATTCCCTGACCCGAGCGAAAGATTCTCCGCAACCCCATCATGTATCTATTCTACCAATTTAATATGTCTTTCCTATGTCACCTATGTCTTTAATCTCTTGAATAGCCAATGAAAATAAATGAAATACCCTCTGGTAATTTAACATTGCCATGGAAAATCACCATTTATAGTGGATTTTCCCATTAAAAATGGTGATTTTCCATAGTTATGTTAGTTTACCAGAGGGTATCTAGTATAGTCGTCAGTGGCGCCTCCCATCCAGTGACTTTCACGGCATCACCGCTGGTGCTGCAGCGCAAGCCCTGGGAAGTGCCTGTAGCTGCGCTTAGCGCATCCCCCAAAGCATCTACAAAAGAAGTTGCTTGGATCAGCATGGAAAACTCATAAATACTTAAAAAAACTGAGTACTAACAGTTACTTTAAAAATGTTAAACACCGAGAAAACCAGTTAGTTACAGTTAGTTCTATTATGTTCTATTCCACTTTCAGCCCAGTAAGAGGAGAATCCCATGATATCCCAGCGTTTTTTTCGCCCAGCTATCCAGGATCCCAGCTCATCCACCCTAAGCCCTTCACCTTTGTCAAAGGTAATGCTCCGGCACTCAGCTGGAACGCCCCAGACTGCACGGCATAAATCTTCGGCCTTGCGCGTCCACGTGCACGACCGGGATGACCGGGACAGGATGACTATGGATGACAGGTGGCACCCAGCCTCTTGACTAGAGACGCAAAGCCGTGAACCCCACCTGGGCAGCTCTTTCCCCAAAGTTCATGATGTGAGCCATACACACAACCTGCCTTTGGGCCAAGGCAGCTAGCAGAAGAATGCCAAACTCTTGCCAAGCCAGCAACTCTCGTCATGCATTGAGATGCTGGCTGACCAATGGCGCCTCCACGCACCACTACGGAACCCATGTCCACAACCTTCCCAAATGTCGCTTTTCAGTGACGAATCAGCTTGTGGCAAAATCTGGCATGGTAGGTTTTAACCCATCCCTAAGTGGTATATCCAGCGCCACCTCCCGGTACGCACCACACGGAGAGTCATCATACCTGGTTGCTTCCAGCATTGCAAGAGGGTGGTTGGGTGTAAAAATCTACAGGAACCCGTGGATTGACCAACCAGAATATAGCTTGTTCACGTGGTTCTGATCAATTCTGTCATCCAATTCTGGGAGGAACACCATCCTCCCAAAAAATGAACTGAAACAGATGGCATGCCAGGGTACTCCAGGCAAACCAAACCACCTAGAGACCAGCCCAGCAAGGAGACGAAGGAAACCTGGCAGCTTCAGAAAACTGAGCCGAGCCAGGATAGCAAACTCAACTTCTCAAAAGGAGCTCGTTTCAAACTAACTCAGATGCTCAAGCAGTGACAATGCATCATGCCTCCTTTGGCTGGTTCTTCACTTGCTGGATTGCTGGTCTGAACCAAGCCTCAGGAGCTCTGACTTTGGAGTCTGCAAAACCAGCTATCCAAGAGAGGCCAGGTTCCAGGGCATTGAGCAAAACGCCAGGAACTCAGTGGGACCTTTGGGACGTGGATACAACTTCTACAACCAATTTTGTCCTTTCTTGGAGCTGACACGGCCCTGCCGAGTTCTACAATCCACCACCCATGGATGGTGTCGGTGCTCGTATTCATCGTCCAGCCAGTGGCGCAGTGGCCAATTCCGTCGAGCAACTCGTCCAGCGAAGACCCATTGAACGTCATCCTCCTGGCTCCTCACCCTCGCCCTGGCCCTGGAGGAGCGGCCGGCCGCAAGGCCTTGGATGAAATGTGACTGGGGTAAATGCCAAAATTATCTAAAATTACCATTGCAATGTAAAAATGAGAGAATAAGACAAACCCAAAAAAATGTGGGATTACCCTCTTTGCAAACAAACCTATTTGAGCAAAGTCTGCAGCAAATCAACTAAGCCTCGCTACTTGTACCTATTTGATGGAATCTGCGGGTCCGGAATCTTTCACAGTAGTGTTGCATGATAGCTAAGTGAAACAATCCCCAAATATTCACCGGAACCTCTAGAAATCTGAAAGCTCGGACGGCCTGCCAAAACGGCGGCGCCAGAACTGGCAGCGCCGGAAATTGCAGCCCTGGCACACTTTGCGCCAAATCTCTCAGTTGCTCTCAGAGATTTCGGGATTTGGGGGATGATCATCTACAGTTTCCAAACTGCAAAACCCAAAGACTGAATGATAATGATGATAATGAGGTTGTAATGACTTGATGAATGATGTAGTTGTCCCCATGATAATAAATCTCATTTAAGTCGTCATGAGGAAAACTCCATGATTTGAAACTGCCTTCTCCTTGGGCCGGACTGGTCGCTCGACCTCCGCGGCCTGACTTTGTGATCTGCAGTCTGTTGATTCTGTTGATTCTTGTATTTTAGGGTTAAACAGCCAGTAACACTCAGTTTTTTCTTGAGCCATGCAACAACGTAAATAGGAGTAAATTATTATGTACATGTACTAAGTCTACATTAAAATACCCCCCGCCGCCCGCAGCTTAAGCGGAGGCAGGAAGCCGAAGTAGATCTCAACGGACCTGAGAAAGACAAAGGTCAAAAATGTTAACATGTACATGACTCCAGCTGTCGCGAAATAAAAGATGATGTTCAGCACAAAGACAACTTGTAAAAAGTGTGCATAGGAAAATTAGCTATACAGTGCACAAAAACTGCAAGACAACGAAGATCCTCAAAAGCGAAGGCGGATGCAAAACTTTTGGCTCGGATGCAAACGGATGCAGACGAAAGAATGACATGGCCGGACTCCCGTCACGGCTTTGATGCACGTGAGAACAGAGTCATATGGTCACATCAAGACACGCCTGTACAAAGCAATGCCCTAAAAAGAATGCACATGGCCGGGCTTCCGCCACGGCTAAATTTCTACTCCTAGCCATGGGGAAGATTGGCAAAAATGTGCTTCAAGGCAAAAATTGAAAGACAAAATTTAATGAGATTGATCTCATCGACGAATGTAATAGATTTGAATTCAACAAAATTTAAGCTGATTAGTTCATAGCCTTTTTACCAATAATCCCGTTCAACTGTGCCATCAGGGAAGGTGATCTCAGTGTACATTGTGCCATCGGCTTCTTCGACAACACGTTCTCTGATCACACCATGGCTCGTGACGGTCTCATGGGTCGTAGCATCGATCACTCTGGTGTTACGCCCAGGGCGGTAATTCTGAGGTGGAGGTCCAGCGGACGAAGATGCACCACCAGAAGGGGGTGGAGATCTCTCACGTTCGCGATCTGCGGCATACCCTCCCGAGTAGCTGCGTCCTTTTCCCTTGCCCTGTCCTTTGGCAGGTCCTTTGACGTAGCTAGTGTCGTGGGTCTTGCCCTTGGGGTCATTCTTCCCTTTTCCCCACCTCCTGTCCTCGTAGCCGTAGTTCCACTGGCGCCAGCTGTCGGCATAACGCCATTGGTCGGCATACCACCCAGACCTGCGGTGGCCGCCACTTTCATCCCGGGCATATCCCCATTCACCTCTTCGAACACGGCGCGTGTAATGCGCGTCCATGCCGCGGTAAGGACAGTCCTCTGCCAGTGGTCTTGGGCCCCACACCGATAGCAGCCTTCCTGGGGCTCATCGTATGAGGACATTCTCCAAGTTGTGGCCTCGGGACGGTACCGCTCCGTGATCCTCGGGTCGAAGTTACGGCGTGGGTTGTCAATCAACCCTTCCGTCTTCTTTGGACCCATGGCTGCAGGGAATGTCACGGTGCTCGCCTCTGCAATAGGCTCATCAGTGTGAACATTCCAATCCAAGGCACCATGATTATCGGTCCAATTTTGGATCGCGAAGCTGACCAAATCGTCATAGTTTTCCTTGAGCGGCTGTTCATCGAGGATCAGGATGCTGCCAGAGAATCCATAAATAGTCGGCGCGGGTTCCCCTCGCGCTGGAGCCAGTTTCGAAGTGTAAACTGCGAACTGGGCGAAGCTGAAGAACCTGCCGGAGTGGCACACCATCGCCTCCTTCGACACATCGAGAGGCCTGCTCGTGTCTCTGCCCTGATACGGCATGAAGATCAGTCTTGTTTTGACATCAGTGCCTTTGCCCTCTCTCCTGGCTTCGAATGAGCGCCCCACGTCCGGAGAAATGCAACTTCCGAGCCTTTGGAGGAAGTCGCAACAAGGAGGAGTCAACTGGGCAATACTGCAATTATACATAAAAAACGGGTCATTCTCCATCCTCTCTCTGATGGAAGCGAAGCCTGTTTTCTTAAGCTTTTTGACTTCCTTCTTCGCCCCGTCCTTCATGACGCCGAAATTGGAACGTCCCGCACGGTTCCTCTGGCGTGCCTCAGATCCAGCTCGGTGCTTTCTGGGCTGCACCTGGCTGACTTGGCTGAGGGCGAATACGCCATGGATTTCTGCGGCACGGCTTTCCAACCGGCAGATTTCAGTTGCCACTCTGTTGTCGCTCCAGGCCTCCATGGAAATGTAGCAAGAGGGGCATTTTGCCATGCCGTCCAGCATATTCTGGTCGCATTTCTCACATTTTCGGAAGGGAATGGTCACCTTTTGGGCGGTGACGCAATCATGGTACTTGAGGTCCTCGATCCTCATCTGGGTGATGACACCGGCCTTCCCTCCCGGGTGGCGGCCCTTTCCTTTTCCTCGGTTCTTGCCTTTGCCCTTTCCTCGTCCTTCAATGACCTCAGAGTTGGACACCGCCGCATAGTAGGCAAACAGATAGTTCTTCATCTCTTCGGACTCGATGCCTTCTGCAGCCTCCATGTCGCGGATCACACCTGAAAGGGCTTTGGGCTGAACCAATGCAAAGAATTTGCCGGGCTCCACTCCTGTCAAAAATGACGACCATTGCTCCAACAGCATATCCATGCTCTTGCCACGCTTCGACTGGACGAGGGCTTGGACAACACTTTCGTCCTGATCCTTTGACTTCTTGACCCGTTCGTTGTAGCTTTTGCGTCCTGCAGCGTATGCTCTATTCGACCAATAGAACTCCCGTTCGGCCGCATTGTATACGCAGATGATGGCTTCATTGGGGATCCAATCTGGAGTCATGATCGCCTCGTCCGTTCGGAACAGACGGGCCCCCACTTGCATGGCCATCTCCACGTCAATCGCTACATAGAATGGCTTTCCGGCTCGCGTCCCCGCGAGCTTCTTCATGTTGGCATCCCATGGGTGCGTCGCAATGAAGTAGCTGTGGGCACGTCCAGAAGACTTCGGCCACCCTCCCGGGATCAAGCCATGTTGGATGATCTGTGAGACAACCCCCTTGTCGCAAGAATGGTAGATGATTCTGGGGAAGTCACTAAATTCCGGGACGAGATCGGGTCTGAAATTTGCTCTGGGGATGACACCCGCATCAACCCTTTCCTTTGTGAAGTCCGGATCCAATGAATACAGATCACGGATCATGGGAGCAAATTTTCCCTTCTTGAGCACAAAGGCATTGTGTCCTTGGTAGGCTCGGACACGAGTCGGTTGCCACGGCACACCCTTCCAGATGGCTTTCTCATTGTCAGGACGGCAGACTTGTAACTGGAAACGTCGGGTGTCGCTGCTGCGGATGACTTGGAGAATTTCCCAATCAACCACGTTCCTGATCTTGTTGTTCAAGTGGTTGCGCAGCTCTACCCAATCCATCGACAAGTCGGTGAAGTCCATCTCCGGTGATGGATAACCATCAGCAAGTGCGTGACCGCGAAGGTACATCGACATCTTTCCTGAGATTTCTCGGAGACGGCCATTGGCATTGACGTTCTTGTACGGGATCCTGCTGTTCAAGTCAGTCGGATCAAGCCATACCGAGTCTTCAAGCCTCTCCTTCGCCTGCTCGAGCTTGAGCTTGGCAACATCATCCATCAACTTGGTGGGCGCCTTGGCGGTGTGATGACTCAATGGCATCTTCTTTGCCTCTGGCTTGGGCCCCGTTGACGACGACGCTGCTTTCTCATCACTGGCAGGCCTCCCGGCGAGCTTCGACCCCTCAGCTGTGGTGGTGTTGGCATCGGTGGCAACAGTCTCAGAAGTGGTGACGTTGCCCCCCCTTTCTCAACATCAACAACAGGCACAGGGTCCCCCCCGGCAGCAGCCCCCTCCGTCTCAGGCGCCTTGGACTCCTCAGTCGTGACCTCAACCGCAGGGTGGCCGGTCTCTGGCTCTTCAATCACCATGACATCGTCCAGATTCCCAGCCTCGTCCTTGGTCTCTGTCTCGGTCTTGTCGACGTCCATGGCGTCATCCTGGATTACGATGGCGTCAGCAAACTCATCGACAGGCTCCGCGGTTTCCTCAACGTCTGCCCCATAGTCCACCTCAGTGTGGCTTTCAACATTGTCTTCACGATCAAAGATGTTGTGCACAATGTCGGGGCGGGAGTCGTCGATGGCTTCCCACTCATCAATCCCAGGGATGTTCTCCGTTGCTTCGCTCCGCACCGGAGACCAGTCGGAATCGGCGGCATCATCAAAGTCAGCCTGTAGATGCTCCCTCATTCTGGCCTCTTCCTCATCAGAATCCACGTCGTCCTTGAAGACCGGTACGATGGATTTGAGGTCGCTTTCCGAAAACTCAATGGGTTTCGGCGCACCCTCCCGGGTGGCTTCATCCTCGGCGACTTCGTTCAGCTCGGCCATGTAGTCCATGAGATGCTCATCAGCAGTCTGGGCTTCCTGGGCGAGAGAAACTGGAAGTGCCTCACGGTTGAGAGCCGCCTGGACTTGGTCCGTCTTGGAGAGTGAGAACTTGAATTGGGCCAGGTTCGGGTATTGATAGACAATCTTCATGCGTTCCTCGGGGTCGTCATCTAAGAATGACGCCTTCTGGCGCAAGATTGGCTCCAACTCTTCGATCTGCATGACGATCAAATGGGCTCGGATCATGCATCTCAAAAACTTTATCATGAGAGTTCGGTTCGATGGGAGGTCCGTCATGTGGAGCTTGTCATACCTCGTGCTGAAGGCCGAGGTCATGCACGTCGAAACGCACCTCACCCCCCCAGCAATGAGGTGTTCAAAGCACCGACCCATCTCCAGCCCATACGATGGTGGGAGTCCATATGAGTAGGAGTCCCCACATCCGAAGACCACAATGTCACGGATCATGGTATGCCTCCGCATCTTGATGATCTCGTCCATTGCGTTGATGACCCTTCGATGCTGCTTCTCAGTAAATTCGGCAGCGACCTTCCGGTCGGCGGGAGTTCGGCTGTACCGTGACTGATGGATCCATGTGCATCCACGATATCCACCTTCACCGTACACGTCATTTCCCGCCCATCCGATAAGGACCAGGGTCGGTATCTGTGGGATGCCCTCCTTCTTGCACGTCTCGGCAATCTCGTCCATGGCTTCCCAGATACCTGTATGGATGGAACCAAGGCCTTTCCCCCAACGCATTTTCCAATGGACCTTGCGCACACCAGTAGGCGGCGACTGTGCAAGGATCTCCCCCAGGCTGATCACCTTTCTCTTCTTGGGATCGTCCGGATAGTCAACCAGAGCCGTGGAGGAATCACCAATCACAAGCACGTCGACCTCACCTTCCGGTGGGCAGTCCACATGGCCAAAGATGGCCTGGGGAACGGTTTCAAAAAGCGTGAGGATGCCTTTGTAGGACTTGAAATTCTTCTCGACGTCCGAACAGAGGCATGCGTCGATCACAATGTCAACCGGCTGCTGGCTCCCGCCGAGCGTCTGGACCCCAGAGATGCCATCTTCATAGGCGACACCAACACAGGAAGTCCTCAGCTCCTTCAAGCGTTCCTCCCACTGCACGATACGCTGATAGACTGAGACCCTCTCTTCCTCGGGCACCCAGCTTGTCAGCATCTCGGCATTCTCAGGAGGGCCAGCCATCGGGTGAATGCGAACAGCGACGAGCGTGATGTGAGCTTCAAAAGTTGCTGATCGAAAGACCGAGTGAACAAGGCCCGTCATGATGAACGTGTACCTTTCTGTGGCCTTAAGATCCTTGCCTCTTCCTTGAACATGTTCATGTGAGTGGTCACATTGGAACTTCGACATTTCACATCCCAGTGACAACAGGTTTGTGGCAATGGTCCAAGGCTTTTTAATGGGAATTTCGTCTTTGTTTCTTATTCCAACCATGCATCCATGAAAATTGAACGTAATCAGTTGTCTTGAGTTCAGAAACTGTGCAACTTTCCTCAACTTCCAGTATCGACAGTTGCGGGGCCATTCAATTGCAATGAACACTTCTTTCTTGACCAATGACATGAAGTGCAGGAAGGCATTCCAAAGTCCATGGAAGATTTTCACATGTCTTCTAACTTTGGCCGCTGCTGAGGGGTGTTTAAGGTTTACATAAGACCATGATGTACCCCCCGTGCACGGTATACTAACCCAAACAAGTACTTCACCGTCAAACTCATTGACTTGTCGGGCAATCTCCTTCCGAACACCCACATTAAGAAGGTCATTCTTTTCAGTGAATTGCAAGACATGGCAACCCTTCGACACTTCACGGGGTTCACTTAGCTTGGACTCCTCGTGACAACAGACCTCCACCAATAGTCGATTAGGCTTCGGACCGGCTCGGAGTTCCCTCGAGCAGCCAGGTGCCGCAGCAGCCTGATTGGGTCCGGTGGACTGAGACTCGCTTTTCTTTGGTCCCTTGGGGATGACATGGACGTGAGACAACAAAGCCAGTGCAAACTTCCACTTTTCGGAATTGGTGAATGGCTTAGTTAAAATGTCTGCGGCCTGCATCATGGAGGGGCCATGGACGAGTTTGTACCACCTTCTTTTAAACTGCTCACTTAACCAAGATAAATTAACCCGTTGAGTCTTGTCGGTATGTCTGAATGTTGGGGACTTGCCATTTTCCAAGATCTTGATTGTTGCCTGATTGTCTTCAACAAAAACTCCTTCAAGGCTCTTTGGGGGAAAAAGGGTAATCATGTTTTCTCCCATCCTTTCCATTCCAATGAATTCCCAATCTGTGAGTGCTTCTCTGAGCTCGTGGGACTCCACATTGTAGTCCACCTCGTACGGACCGTAGACCCTGAAATAGGTCTTGCCCTCCCAGATGTCTCCCGATGTAGAACTCCGATTCCGTCTCCAATGGTCCTGACGGAAATCGATGCCATCCTTGGTGACCATCAACGTAGTCCTTGCGTTGCCCAGGCGGTGAACCGGCAACGGGATCGTCTTGCTGGATGTTGGGTCAAATAGGGATGATCTACTTTTGGGATGCACTCTCACCAGAATACGTCTATGTCTTATGAACTCCCAGTACTCCCCATCCTTTTCTTTTTGGGTAGTTATTGAAGTGTTCGGCAATCCTCCCGGAGTGCTATGCTTCTTGGCCTCATCTCCCCCCGCGTTCTGGAGGTACGCCCATAAACCGGAGGAAGGTAGACCTACAGCACGCAGGGATATGTTTGCTGCAACTACTTCAGATTCAGTACTGGACATTGACACAGAAGTTTGTTTCTTTGAGAATGCAGTTAATGGGAAGTACGTGTTGGGTCCTATGAGTACTAGGAAACATCCTGTGGTACTACGATTATCGTATTCCCCGGCATGATCTGCGTCGGCGAAACACCACAGACGGCATTTGCATAAAGGATCACCTATGAAAGCCTTCAACTTGACATCTATTGTTGAGTCTATGTAACAGACAAGTCGATGCAAAGCTCGGTCACAGTCGGCTGACCATTTCGTCACTCGTGCCGCTAAGCCTTGGACGGCTCTTAGCAAGTCGTACCTTGCCATTCTAGCTGCAAATAGTATCTTCATTAGGACCCTTGCGGCTATCGGGGCAAGTACTCCTTTCCTTTCGGACTCATCGGTGACTGGTCTAGCTATCCGTTCTTCGTGAAATGGTGTTGCAACCTTTTTCATCGGCTTGGCATCCCTACCAGCTAATTGAGTGTATCGATCCACACACGATTGCAGGAAGGGCTTCATATCGTATAACATGACTGTTACAGGCTTAGTCATACATGGTTGGTCTTCGAACAGTTGATCCAGGTATGAGAAGCCTTGTGCTCTAGCTTTCTTTTTGGCTTCACCTTTATCCCTCTTAATTGATGCCAGTGCTGCCTTTGGATCAGCGCAACCTTTTGTGAACAGGTAAGTTGCACCTACCCACATGTTGGCATGCTTCTTCCCCTGGGCTAATCTGCCTGATTCATCAACGTATTGATCTCATTCAGGAATGGCATCACCTTCCGGTGAGCTGAACATTGCATCGGTATATCGGATGCTTGACAACTCACAATCACGGATGACATCTTCATCAGGCACATAGTAACCCTTACGGGGTTGGCAGTGGTGTCGGATATAAACCCCATGTCCTGGCTCGACTTCCCAAAAGTCTTGCGTCCTGTGCGCTGCAGCGGCGGTCTTCGCGGCTGGGTCAGGCAAGGATTTGTCAAAAAGGTAGGCAAATGGGTGATCATCTTTAGAAAGAAGAACATTCTTTTCTTGTATGTGATCGCAACCAAGATATCGATTAACTTGCCCGGGTGTGTCCATGTCAATCTTGGATGCAATGAGTTTCCAGCCCTTTGACATTGACTCTATGGGTCCAGCCATTTTGAAGTCGTCCACATATACCACTAACAGAAGCTTCAGCTCGGGATGAAAGAACACTGACGGCCAGCCTTCCGGATCTGGCATTATGAACCCCACTGCTTGGAGCATCGCTTCACAGTGACGCTCCCAAAGACCCCCCGAATCGGGGTGCCCGTACAATGCGATTCTCAATAATACCACTGGTCTGATGAATCTTCCTACCCAGTCTTTGGGCCATCTATCACGTGGAATTTCAACCCAAATTTCAATTCCCTCCATCAATGCTTGAGTATATGCTTGTACTCCATCGTTCTGTTCAGCTGTATGGCCCGGTTGAGATCCATATGCATCGACAGCCTTACCTGCTTCCATGGTAGCTGGGGATGACCCTAATTCTGAAAACAGTGCTGTGTCAGAATTTTCGTCCATTACATTGTTACCCTGAAAAACAGTTCTCCCTTTAAATTTTCTAAGCTTATGGCCTTCAGGGAGTTCACTGCCCTTTTCAACGCAGATCTCGAATACCTTGCCAACATGAACCTTTTTGCCTGATTTCTTGGCTTTGTCTGAAACTGTTTTCCATTCGGCTACTGTGTCATATAACCAAGCTGTTTTCTTGACCAGTTTGTTCCATTCGATGTCTAATGCCTCTTGGGCTTTGGGACTGGATCTAATTTCTTGTCGATTAACTGGCCTGGCTACTAAGGTGTTGATAGCCCTTTCACCACTTTGGATACTAACCCTGGCTAACTTGACACGATGCCGTTGTTCAGAGTAGGCACAAGTAGGCATGGCAGGTACATCACATTCCTCGTATGCTTTGTGGAGTTGATTGATGATACTCGTGACTCCGGGTTTCTTCTTCTCAAGTCTTTTCAATTCGGCCTCGGATCTTGCCTTGAGTTTCTTCTCGGCTTCCTTGGCGGCGATTTTGACCTGTTCCTCCCGGATGGCTTCACGTCTGGCCTTGATAGACATTGCTTGCCATACAAAAGGTGGGATATCCTTAGGCTTGCTGGACTTGTTATATTTTCTAGCCTTGAATCCCCCCGCATCATAGAAAGTGGGATCGTTCTTTGATATCTTTTCCACCTCACCGGTCTTTGGGTTAATAACCTCAACAAGATCATCTTCCTCGTCGACAGGGTCAGGGATGACTTCCGGAGGTTTCTCACAAAGTTCAATGGGTTCTTTTGAGAAAATTGTGGTCATTACCTCACACGGGAGTGTTCCCTCTTCTAAGTCCCCATCGGGTGGATCAATGTTCAAATTTGATTCAAGTACATGCCATACTCCATCCAACTTATAACAAGTTGTCCTAAATGGGAATTCTTCTGTTTTGAACTTGCTTGTTGGTTCAACGAAGTTCTCGGAAAATTCTTTGACATTTATGTGAGCATCGGCATATTCATACCAACCTTCTCTGTTGTCAACATGTCTGAGAAATCCTAACCATGTTGGATTATAAACGGCACTTGCACTTGATGATTGAGGCATTTCCCCGTCTTCGATTTGTTTCACGGTCGGCTCTGGCTCCCGCGCAGGCTTTGCATCTTGATCTGAGAGGTCACGATCGACCCCGTCGTCATCATCTTGATCATCGGATGCGATGCCCTTGAATTGAGCTGGCCGCTTGGATAGAGGGAAAACGATATCATCTACTCTGTTGATCTTAATCACTCTCATGATTTGTGCGGGTTCATCGAATGCATTGTCAATTAGTTGTTTCAATGATGCAACAAAGAATTCCTCTTTCCACATGAATTCAGGATGAATTGCGTACCCCATGAAGATTCCTTCACTTGATGTAGCTTCAAATTTAAGTCCGTCCTTCACCCGTCTCTTTCTGGGACCATTCCAGTAGTCAATACGACACCCAAACGGGATCAGTGGACCTTTGAAGTTTTCCCCAAAACGTCCAGGGAGTATCAGACCCGGTTCTAGACATGACATTCTGCATCATGCACCAATGGCGTGCAGCATGTGGCCAGTACATGTGATGCAACCCTGCTTGGTGGAGATTGACCCTGGCACCCTCAAGGACCGATCTGATAGATCGTTCGGCAATTGCATTGGACTTTGATATATACTCCTTACTTAGCACATGTCTCCATTTGAGATCCTTTAATGCACTCAAAAGTTCAGGAGCATTGTCGCTATACATAATGCCAACTTCATCGTTATGTCCTATAAAGTGCTTTAAGGCCAGAACAGCATCCTTGGCCGTTCTCCTACCACTGGGATAGATGTACATGAAATCAGTGGCCACATCCTTAACAACCATTGCA